TCACATAAATGGTCACATGATGGCTAGACAAATCATAAGAGTAGGTTATTACTAGTTGACAATGGAGAATAATTGTATCAACTATGCCAAAAAGTGCCATAAATGTCAAATATATACAGATAAGATACATGTCCTCAAATTTCTTTACATGTTTTGGCACCACCATGGCCATTTTTTTTGTGAGGGATGATGTGATTGAGCCCATCACTCCAAAAGCTTTGAATAAGCATCAATATATTTTTATAATGATTGATTAACTCACAAAATGCATAAAGATAGCCTCTTATGCTAATATGACATGAACAATGGTATGCAAGTTCATAAAAAAAATGACAGTGTGTCATTATAAGCTTTCAAAAATGATCATTTTCAATAATGCTCACAAGTTGAACAAGAAAATGTTGAAAGTGGTTTGTGCTTAGTTCAAAATCAAACACCACAACTCAGTGCCATACACTTAAAGATGAATAGGGCAGTGGAAGCTATAAATAAAAACATTAAAAAGATAATAGAAAAAATGATAGACACCTACAAGGATTGACAAGTTGCCATTTGCTCTACAAGCTTACAGAACTTCAATCCATACTTATACTGGAGCTACCCTATTTTCACTGGTATATGGGATGGAGGCCGTGCTACCAATTGAGGTAGAAATCATTTCATTAAGAATCTTAATGCAAGTAGAATTAGAATAAGCTAATTGGGTTTGAAGTCATTATGAAAAGTTGAATCTTTTAGGGGAGAAAAGATTAATAGCTCTTTGTCACGGTCAAATATACCAAAAAAAGATATGACAAGCCCATAACAAAAGAATTTAGCCTAGGTGATTTCATAAAGGAGAATTGGTTTTGAAGAAGTCCTTCTAATCTAGTATAACAGTAAAGAAAAATGGATGCCAAATTAGAAGGGTTCATATGTAGCAAAAAAAACCTTCTCGGGTGGGACATTAATTTAACAAAAATGGATGATGATGAATTGCTAAACCCAATATGCATAAAAAAAAAGAAACAAAAAAAGAATTCAAATCAAAAACCTAAAAAGGGTGGTTTGGATTTTAAGGGATACCTAAGTCGAAAACCTGAAAAGGTGGCTTAGGTGCATGAAGGTGTCAACATCAATTAGGGATCATATCATACTAGGGCAAAGTTTGATTTTGATGTGTTTTAAAATCAAGAATGTCAAATGGTAAGATTTTCAAAAATAAGAATTTTGGATAAATGTTTAAAGTTTCTAAATGTTCATTATTTTGAAATTAATTGTCCCCATCCTAACATCTTCCCCAGTAGTTTGCTCTTAAATGCCTAGTTGTGTAGACCCTTCAAATAAATCTACTTGTGTATCATTTAGTAATGAATATCTTTTTTTCTTTGGCCTCCTTTCCTTTCTATTATGTTGTTTCTCAAACAAATAAAGGAAACATTGATGCACTGCATTTAAAATTGAAATTGTAAAAGGTTTGTCTTGACAATGCTTGCACTACATTGAAAAGAAATTCAAAGGTAACATGAAAGAATAAACAAAAATGAGAATGAAAGAAAATCAAGGAAAAAACTAATACCCTATGGGTTTGAAAGAATGAATCTTTGATTTAACAAAAAGGTTGTTCTACCATCGAGATTTTGAAAGCCAATTTTGAAGTTGAATATATAAGATTGAAAAAAGAAAAAAGAGAAGACAAAAAAAAAAGGTTCTTGAAAACCTTGTTACCACAACTAAAAATGCATGGTATTGTTTTGTTCGCATCATATTCCCTACATACATTCAATAAAAAAGAAATGTAGTGTCTAGACTAAATTTTGAAGTTGAAAATTGACCAAGGGTTGATAGTGTCATAAATCCTCAATTGAATTCTTTCCAAAAAGATATGGACCTTTGTTTAAAAGAAACTTGTCAGACATGGTTTGTGAAATCTCCAAGCATCTTCAAATTCCATTTAGATAAGATTTTTTAAAGTTATCAAGCCTTTAATGGGAGGAGCTTTCTAGTTGATTTTTTCTTTTAAAGTTGTCAAATGTCTAATAAAAAGAGCTTTCTTAAAGTTGTTAAATCTCTGATGGGAGGAGCCCTTCAATTCAATTTTTAAAGTTATCGAGCCCCTGATAAGATAAGCTTTTAGTTTAATTTTTAAAGTTATCAAGTCTTTGATAAGTGAAGCCCTTCAGCTTAATTTTTAAAATTGTTTAGCCTCTAATGAAAGGAACTTATGGATTTGCTTCAAAACAAAAAACAAAAACAAAACAAAACAAAACAAAAAAAATAAAAATTTTCTTTTGACTATGGACAAAATTGTTATAATTGTTTTTGTCATTTTCCTGATTCTCAACAATATGCAAAGAAGGATAATTGTAAACACCTGATTTTGATCAGATTGTCTAAAATGGACCTTAATTTCAATTGAATGGATATTGGGCCCAAATTCTATGTTAGTTGGGCTTAAAGCCAGAATTTTATCTTTGACCCAAAGTTATGGCCCAAAATCCAATTAAGGGTTTCAATTTTAAAAAGAAAAAAGCAAATAAAATAAAAATAATAAAAAGTAATTAAAAAAAAAGCCTATGATTGTAGGTGTCATTCATGGCACTAGCAACCCACAAGCCACCCAACCCTCTTGCACCCCCTTCTCCTTTCAACCATGGCAATTAAGGCCAAGTCTTCAAGAAATCTAGTTTAAGCTAAAATGGAAAAAAAAGTTGCATTAGCAACCGCCCTAACAGTGTGGAGGCTACAAATGACCCTTGAAAACCCCTCAAAATCTAAGAAATCATAGGATTTCATCTCCCCTCCTAGTTCTATAAATTTAAAGCTCAAGCACAAAATAAAAAAGGAGAAAGAATGAGGGAAAAACTTTACAAAAAAGAAATGCCTAAAAAAAAACTTTTATAAAAAAAAAAGCCCTTTACTAATCTGTAAAAACTAAAAACAAAATTCACATCCTTTAGAGTAAGGAACCAAGCCAGAAAGAACAAACCATAAAAAAGAAAAAAAAAGAAAAGAAAAAGTGTTTGTAGCTAAGATTTTGACAGCAGGTATGGGTTTTTAGGGAAAGTTCTTCAAAAAAAAGGCTCAAAATGAGAATCAAGAGGTCAAGAGAAGTTTTTGGAAGTTTTTCAGTGATCGACATGGTGGCTAACGATCGACGACTGTGACGATGAATGGTGGTGCATGACTACAACTCATCATTTTTTAGGAAGAGGTTGGGAGAAATTTTTTGGCTCTGAGGTTTTTTTTTTTTTTTTTTTGCATAAAGGGAGAAAGAAAATGAGTTGGAAAAAAATTGGTTTTTATAAGGGAGGGAATAGTTAAAATGATGCATTTGGTTGAGGAAGGATCCTTATGAACCTACTACCCGACTCGAGATCTACACGAGCTAACTAGACTTTGATCGATCTAACTTAACCAATATTGAACTAGATCTTATTCGGTTTGAATCATAAAAAATCACTCTAGATCGCTTGAATAGTAGGAAACCACTCTAGACCGTTGAACAACTCTAAACCGTTGATCGATCCGATTCAGTTTTTTTGTATTTTTGTATTTACTTATTTTATTTTATTATTATTGTTTTTTTTAGTTTTTTTATGTTCCAAAATATTCTTTATATAAAAATAGAGTTTAAATTTTTGATAATTTTAAATTTCGCTACAAAAAAAATTTTTCTTTAAAAATAAAATTGAAAAATGAAAGAGTAATAAATAAAATAAGAATAAATTTTCCTTCTTTTTCTATAAAATAAAAAAGTTTAACTAAAATTAATAAGAAAAAATAAGAAAAATGAAATTTTATCTGACAATGAGATTCTAAGAAAATTTGCACAATGATTCCTACAAAATCTCTAGGTGAGATTTTTTTTAAAATACTATCAGTTTATTAGAGTGTTTAAAAAAAATTTCAAAAAAAATATAAATTCCTTTTTCTTCTACTTAAAAAAATAAAAAAAATAAATAGTAAATAATAAAAATGCAAAAATTAATAAACAAATTTTTCTAAAAGAAAAGCTATATTTGTTCTAAAAAAATTACTCATAAATAAAAAGAGTAAAAAGAAAAATTTTTATTTAATGATGAGATTCTAAGTTAATCTGAGTAGTGATACTTAAGAAATCTCTAAATGAGAATTTTTTTTAATACTACCAACACATTAGAGTATTTATAAAAAAAAAATTCAATGCAATAAAAATCTTTCTTTTTTTCTAAAAAGAATCTAAAAATATATATAATAAAAAATTATCAATAAACAATTTTCTTTAAAAAAAAAGAGATAAATAAAACATGCACACTAGGATTTAATAATTTGCATTGCCTACATATCATATTTAATTTTTAAATAATAAATACGAGTCTCCGAGAACGAGATTCTAAAAAAACTCGAGTAGTGATTTCTAAAATTCCTTAAGTGAGAATTTTCTTCAATGTTACCAACATATTAGAACATTTTTAAAATTTTTTTAATAATAAGGTTCTAATTTATTTTTTAAAAATAAAATGGATTAATCTTAAAAATAATAAAAATAATAAAGAAAATTTTGTAAAAAAGAAAAACAGAAGAAATAACAAAACTGGAAATGAAAATAAATTAATAAAGGTAGTTAATAGAATTATTTTTGAATACCAAAACTAAGACCTTATTGTCAAAATTAAAAGATAATACATAATTAATTGATGCCATTTTTCTAAGAGCTTAGTATGGGTACTAATTCTTTCTTATGTATAACTGACTCTCAAACTCAAATTATTTTTGCAAACTCAAAAATTATATTTTTAATAAATTTTAATTAATTTTAAAAAATAACCAATTACATCTAGTCAAAAAAATTGATGACGACTTCATTTATTTTTAAATTCATCTAATAATTCTAAAACTGTTACGACAACATGTATAACAATAACATAATTTGATTGGGTCAGATTTGCTGAAATTGATTTTTATTTATCATAATTGAATTGATGGAAAAAAAAAATCAAATACATAAAAGATGCACATATACGATCGTGTTCTTTGCAAATGTACTATCTGGATCCGCTCTCTCTATGGTCAATATCTTCCTTGAGCCCAAGAAAATTCCCAGCCTGCTAGGTGAAGCTGTTCCAGCACAGGTGAAAATAAAACTCTCTGATAGTGCATACGTTATTGTTCATAATTTGACATGGATAATGCACATGGAGTTTTGTTTTATATATTTTTTAGTTCTTTTTTTCTTTAAATTATTTGATGGTTCTATCCATAAACATGCTAATGTTCATAATTACTTGCTCTGGTTGAGAAACTAATGCCTATGCCTCAATATTTTTTGCCTTTTCACCACTGACAATATCAAAGGCCATGATCTGGTGAAAGTTTTGTGGGATATGCCTCCATGCCCTTTTCAAGTTCTCATCTAATTTTTCTTTTCTTCGATAGTTTTGTGGTGTATTTAAGACTCCCTTTCCTTTGATCTGTTGCTTGTTGGAGAAAAGTAAAACATACATAAAAAACGTTAAACTCTATTTATGTGCTTCTAGATAGGCACATCCCCTAAAGTCAACAGTATGAGCTGTATCTTGGTGTAAAAAGTCTCAACAGTATGAGCTGCTGCTAGAGACTTGAATATATGTTAGCGCGGAAGAAAATGAAATGGCAGAATGATATTTTTAGATCCTGACTTTTTGAGATGATGTTTTGTTGTGTTGAGTTGTTATCTCTCCAGGGAGTGGTTCAACTAGAGGTAACCAATCTGCACTGACGATTGGCAAAACCTCACATTTTAGTGCTGGTTAATATGCTAGGTATCACATCCATGACCAGTCTACTGATTTATGTTAACATTTAGCCGAGAATGATAAACATGAACATTATTATCATTAATTATTATTTACTTGTACTTATCTGTAGTGCATACGCAAATATTAACTCTTGTTTTTGCATCCAATCATGAAATGATGTGGTTTCTTTTTGTGTAGGCATCATTCTTCATTGCCTATGTAGTGACATCTGGGTGGACCAGTCTGTCGTCAGAACTTTTTCGTCTGATTCCTCTTCTTTACAGTTTCATGCGAAGACTATTTGCAGGGAAAGATGGAGTTGATGATTTTGAAATTCCTTCAATCCGTTACCACAGTGAAATTCCCAGGGTTCTCTTCTTTGAACTTCTTGGTGTTACTTATTTCTTCCTTGCCCCACTAATTTTGCCATTCCTCTTGGTTTACTATTGCCTGGGATACATCATCTATCGCAACCAGGTAAGTGAAATGCCCCTTTTACAGCTTGCATCAGATATAATAGAACAGAAACCAAGGTTCACTTTGTTAAGTATTCAAGGCAAACCTTTCTAAAGCTACTATCTGCTACATTTATCAATATTTCTGATAGGTCTAACTGTTCCCAATCCCTCCTGTATGTTGATAAAATTGAATTCAAGTAGCTGATGTTTTATGCAGACTAATGTGATTGACTATAAGATTGAAAAAAGAAAAAAGAGAAGACAAAAAAAAAGGTTCTTGAAAACCTTGTTACCACAACTAAAAATGCATGGTATTGTTTTGTTCGCATCATATTCCCTACATACATTCAATAAAAAAGAAATGTAGTGTCTAGACTAAATTTTGAAGTTGAAAATTGACCAAGGGTTGATAGTGTCATAAATCCTCAATTGAATTCTTTCCAAAAAGATATGGACCTTTGTTTGAAAGAAACTTGTCAGACATGGTTTGTGAAATCTCCAAGCATCTTCAAATTCCATTCAGATAAGATTTTTTAAAGTTATCAAGCCTTTAATGGGATGAGCTTTCTAGTTGATTTTTTCTTTTAAAGTTGTCAAATGTCTAATAAAAAGAGCTTTCTTAAAGTTGTTAAGTCTCTAATGGGAGGAGCCCTTCAATTCAATTTTTAAAGTTATCGAGCCCCTGATAAGATAAGCTTTTAGTTTAATTTTTAAAGTTATCGAGTCTTTGATAAGTGAAGCCCTTCAGCTTAATTTTTAAAATTGTTTAGCCTCTAATGAAAGGAACTTATGGATTTGCTTCAAAACAAAAAACAAAAACAAAACAAAACAAAACAAAAAAAACAAAAATTTTCTTTTGACTATGGACAAAATTGTTATAATTGTTTTTGTCATTTTCCTGATTCTCAACAATATGCAAAGAAGGATAATTGTAAACACCTGATTTTGATCAGATTGTCTAAAATGGACCTTAATTTCAATTGAATGGATATTAGGCCCAAATTCTATGTTAGTTGGGCTTAAAGCCAGAATTTTATCTTTGACCCAAAGTTATGGCCCAAAATCCAATTAAGGGTTTCAATTTTAAAAAGAAAAAAGCAAATAAAATAAAAATAATAAAAAGTAATTAAAAAAAAAAGCCTATGATTGTAGGTGTCATTCATGGCACTAGCAACCCATAAGCCACCCAACCCTCTTGCACCCCCTTCTCCTTTCAACCATGGCAAATAAGGCCAAGTCTTCAAGAAATCTAGTTTAAGCTAAAATGGAAAAAAAAGTTACATTAGCAACCGCCCTAGCAGTGTGGAGGCTACAAATGACCCCTTGAAAACCCCTCAAAATCTAAGAAATCATAGGATTTCATCTCCCCTCCTAGCTCTATAAATTTAAAGCTCAAGCACAAAATAAAAAAGGAGAAAGAATGAGGGAAAAACTTTACAAAAAAGAAATGCCTAAAAAAAATCTTTTATAAAAAAAAAAGCCCTTTACTAATCTGTAAAAACTAAAAACAAAATTCACATCCTTTAGAGTAGGGAACCAACCCAAAAAAAAAAACAAACCACAAAAAAGAAAAAAAACAAAAGAAAAAGAGTTTGTAGCTAAGATTTTGACAGCAGGTATGGGTTTTTAGGGAAAGTTCTTCAAAAAAAAGAGGCTCAAAATGAGAATCAAGAGGTCAAGAGAAGTTTTTGGAAGTTTTTCAGTGATCGACATGGTGGCTAACGATCGACGACTGTGACAATGAATGGTGGTGCATGACTACAACTCATCATTTTTTAGGAAGAGGTTGGGAGAAATTTTTTGGCTCTGAGGTTTTTTTTTTTTTTTTTTGCATAAAGGGAGAAAGAAAATGAGTTGGAAAAAAATTGGTTTTTATAAGGGAGGGAATAGTTAAAATGATGCATTTGGTTGAGGAAGGATCCTTATGAACCTACTACTCGACTCAAGATCTGCACGACTCGACCTAGAAATGCAATAGCTAACTAGACTTTGATCGGTCTAACTTAAACTGTATTGAACTAGATCGATATTTTGAATACAAAAATCACTCTAGATCGCTGAATTAACATGCATTGAAAACTCTAAATTTTCATTAAATTCAAATTTAGACCATTGATTAATCTAATTTAGTTTTTTTTAGTTTTTTTTATGTTCCAAAATATTCTTTATATAAAAATAGAGTTTAAATTTTTGATAATTTTAAATTTCGTTACAAAATAAATATAAAATTTTACTTTAAAAATAAAACTAAAAAATGAAAGAGTAATAAATAAAATAAGAATAAATTTTCCTTCTTTTTCTATAAAATAAACAAAGTTTAACTAAAATTAATAATAACAAATGAAAAAAGTGAAATTTTATCTGACAATGAGATTCTAAGAAAATTTGTATAGTGATTCCTACAAAATCTCTAGGTAAGAATTTTTTTTAAATGATATTAGTTATTAGAGTATTTATAAAAAATTTTCAATAAAAATATAAATTCCTTTTTCTTCTATTTAAAAAAATAATAAAAATAAATAGTAAATAATAAAAATGCAAAAATTAATAAACAAATTTTTCTAAAAGAAAAGCTATATTTGTTCTAAAAAGATTACTTGTAAATAAAGAGAGTAAAAAGAAAAATTTTTATCTAATGATGAGATTCTAAGTTAATATGAGTAGTGATACTTAAGAATCTCTAAATGAGAATTGTTTTTTAATACTATCAATATATTGGAGTATTTATAAAAAAAAAATTCAATGCAATAAAAATCTTTCTTTTCTTCTAAAATATATATAATACAAAATTATCAATAAACAATTTTCTTTAAAAAAAGAGATAAATAAAACATGCACACTAGTATTTAATAATTTGCATTGCCTGCATATCATAATTAATTTTTAAATAATAAATACGAGTCTCCGAGAACGAGATTCTGAAAAAATTCGAGTAGTGATTTCTAAAATTCCTTAAGTGAGAAAATTTCCTTCAATGTTACCAACATATTAGAACATTTTTAAAATTTTTTTAATAATAAGGTTCTAATTTATTTTTTAAAAATAAAATGGATTAATCTTAAAAATAATAAAAATAATAAAGAAAATTTTGTAAAAAGGAAAAACAGAAGAAATCACAAAACTGGAAATGAAAATAAATTAATAAAGGTAGTTAATAGAATTATTTTTGAATACCAAAATTAAGACTTTATTGTCAAAATTAAAAGATAATACATAATTAATTGATGCCATTTTTCTAAGAGCTTAGTATGGGTACTAATTCTTTCTTATGTATAACTGACTCTCGAACTCAAATTATTTTTGCAAACCCAAAAATTATATTTTTAATAAATTTTAATTAATTTTAAAAAATAACCAATCACATCTAGTCAAAAAAATTGATGACGACTTCATTTATTTTTAAATTCATCTAATAATTCTAAAACTGTTACGACAACATGTATAACAATAACATAATTTGATTGGGTCAAATTTGCTGAAATTGATTTTTATTTATCATAATTGAATTGATGGAAAAAAAAATCAAATACATAAAAGATGCACATATACGATCGTGTTTTTTATAGGGTTCATCACACATAAACTAAGTTGCAAAACCTTTTCTAGGAAAAGAAAATGTTTTATTTCTCAAATATTATATATATATATATATATATATATATACACACACACATATATATTGATTTATTCACTCTATTGATCACCAAATTAAGAAACCAGATTTAAAAGGATGAAATTATTGTTTTTTATAGTAATTTACTCATAGTGCAAGTCTAAGATTTCGGTTGTGTGAAAATGATTTTGGATATCTCAATTATCAATAGCATTATTACCATACATAAGCCAATTATTACTATACGATTTGTATTCACCCAGTTGCTTGCGTCAATAACGATGCAAATAAATCCAACCTTTAGCACCAAATAAATAAATAAATAAATCCAAACATTTTAGTTTCATGATCCTACGCTTCAAAAATATTAAACTTATATTAAAAATAATTTTAATATAATAATAATTTAAACTGGACCTGAGCTCAAATTGTATTCCAATGAAAATTAATTTTATACACAATGCAATTGTAAGGAATACTCATTCGAAAAATTACTTTGATTCTCTAGAGCAATATTACCTTACATAGTGATAAGCCAATTTATTGATTCACGTATACTAAATAAATATTAAACATATACAAATATATTGATTCTCTCAATCAAAATTACTTACAAGTGTAAAACTCATTATAAAGTTCAAGTTTTACCACGAAATTTATATATAGACAACTCAACAAAACCAGAAAAGGCCAAAGTTAGATTAATTAAGCTCCACCACGAATTTTTTAATCAAAACCATCAACTTTAAACATAAAACGAAAGAAAATAGATGCGTTAACTAGGACAAATTAAACACAACCAAGAAATTTGTACTTAATTCCCCAAGTTTATTCGAAAACAGCAAAACCTGTTGTACTGTTTATATTGTCAAAGATGCACAAGTGAGGTTCCGTCAATCAAATTGGCACTTTTCTATCGACTCCAGGTAGCATTCACCCTTGTAATAGCCATGAAATCGATCTAAAAACCACTGACGTTACCATCTTTAGGCAATAGCAAGAAACTCCAATGGCCTACGTCTATATATTCATTAGAAAACCAAAGACTGAAAATTGAATGCCATGTAAGATAAAAGAAAATGAGAGAAGAAAATCTAACAGATGTTTCTCAATGCAAAGGTACCAATACAGTTTATCTTGATAGTAAAAGGTTGAACATTGAGTAAAAGCATAACTAAATTGTAAGTATCAGCAAATGAAAATTAATGGTTGAATGCAGTTCCTCCCCTGAAAGAAACTAGGCTCTCTGCATACATTGCTAGCTCTAATGCAGTTCCTTCAAATTGGAGTGTCTTTATCTCTTTGTTTTCTCGATGATGCCACGCCAGAAATTTGCTTTCTTCGTTAACAAGGAAGATTTCACCATCGCTGCCCACTCCTAATGGTGTAGTGGCAGGAGGAAGAGATTCAATGGTGAATAATTTTGTCCAAGAGTTCTTTAGACCAAGTTCACCCAACACCCATACATCATAGCAGCCATCTGTCACATAATAATCATGACAAAGTAACCCACCAAGTGATCCGTTGATTTCCATTAAATAGGTAAGATAGCGTGTTGTTCTACAGTTCTTACCCAATCTCCCATCAGGGAATGGTGTTGTAACGAAAACTTCATTACTCATGTCAAATGAGAGGAGCAATTCTTCACTATCAACATCTGCCAAACAGTGATAAAATCCGTTGGAGTAGACTTGATAGTTCCTATAACTATGGAAGAATTCAGCAGTTAAGTTGTCATTCAACTTTCTCCAAGAATCAGTAGTTAAGTTGTACAAAGCAACTCGGTTACCTCGGGGGACTTTGTCGAAATCACCCTCCCAAAATGTGTCAATCCTAATTACTTTATACTCATCTCTCTTGGAATCATAACCCAGACCAGCTACATCAATGGTATTTTCAGAGCTTGGTGGACCCTCAAAAGGACACATAGGGAGAATTTTAAATTCCTTAGTCGCAATGTTCCACAAAAGAATACCACTAAAACAGTCACAAAGACAAATTATGCCATTGCAATGACCTAGGATATTTATACTTATTGGATCATCAGTAAAGGATGGTATATCAAGATTGGCAACAACATCAAGAGTTTGATTGGAAATAAAAGAGACCATAGCCTTTCTCGGTGAAAAATTCACTTGTTTCATGAGGAGACAGGTCTTGTTTTTACTAAAAGAATAGTGGGCCGTAATAAATTGAGGGCTTTGAATCAAGCAACACCAAGACTTACCAACACACTGAATCGCTTTTAGAGATTTGACAGGCAATCTTGCCAGAATATCCACCACAATATCTTCAGCAACGAATGGGTGATCGCGGCTGCAGCCATTGATGATCTTCCTTGACGGTTGTCCCCCTCTGCGTGTGTAAACGAGAGATTTGAGTATATTGCAATACTTTCGAAGGGATGGGAAAACTTATGTGATTTGATTTTATGCAGCGTAAATGGTAACTGACATTTGACAGGCAACACCTCTTGCAAGTCGTCTGGCATTCTATTGGGTTATTTATTGGTACCAACTATTAAATTTAAGAAAAGTGACGTCATTGCTTAACTGTTAAGTAAGCGGTTGTTTAAACATCCGGATTAATTAAAATGGATTTCGAGTTTTTTAATTTTGATTGTTTGAGCTTTTTAATCAGAGTTGTTTGATATTGGACTTGTGCAAACTTCGTAGTCTTGAGTCCAAATTTTTCAATCTAAAATTACATTGGCCGAAATTTAATTTCAATCCACTTCTGCTTAAATGGATCTTTTGTGCTTAAAAGTTAAAAAGCCTATGCCATTCGGAACTTAAAAGCCCAAATTTTCAAATTCATGCTATTAAATTAGTGTTTTAATTAAATGAAAGGTAAGGGGCAAACTCCGGTGTACAAAGCTAATGCTCTCCGTTTTATGAGAGTTGATGTGAAATCTATAGTATTTTAATTAAATAAATAATTTAATTAACTAATTAATGAAAATTAAATAAAAAAATGAATAAAAATTCTAATAAAATAAAAATAAGAAAAAATTGAAAAATAAAATAAAATTAAACGCGGATGCCATGCACAAAACCGCCGGCAACAGTGTCTGCCAACCCTGCAATTCAGCCACCCTATCCATCGAACCGCCAAGCCACCCTCTAGCCATCATTGAAGTCGAAATTAAGCTGCCAACAACCCTCCTTCTTACTCGGCATATTTCTACCTACTTTTTGGTTTTTCTCATGAACCTAAAATCTGAAACTACTTATAAAAGTGAACAAAGAAATCAACAGAAGCCATGCTACGCAATGACAATTAATAAAAATCAAGTACAATCATCGAAATATGTTGACCTATATTTGTCGAAAGTTTTCAATCATGGCTCATTGTACGTGGCCTTTCTTGTGAGATTTCACCATAAGAGTTAATAATTGTGATTTTAAAAAACGTTAATAGGTTTAAATATCATATATAAAACATTGTGTTTGAAAACGTTTTTAATGGTATATTTTCATAAATAATTTAGTTTGACATTTTTCATGTTACAATTTCATGTATTAAAAAACAAATTATTATAAACTTTAATAAATAAATTATTATGTTTTTTATGGTACAACTCTTGAAACCATATTGTCAATTCCATTTGCACATTTGTTATGATTTTATGTTATAAAATTAATCGTGCAAAGCACCGACATAAAAACTTAGTTACATAATAAAATTAATTTTTTTAAATTAAATTATTATACATGTATTAAATTATACAAAATTAAATTAACTAATTAAGAGTTAACATTCCTCTTAAAATTTTATTTAAATTACTAAAAATTTCTCAAATATCTATTTCCCATCCATATTTACTTTTCCCTCAAATCATTCACCAAAATCGAAAAAAAAAATCAATTTTAACCTTTAAAACCATGTGAAATGTATCAGTCTTACCAAATTCTTCCAAACCCATTTTCTTCTTTTCTCGCTAGTAGTAGAGCATGCCAGCATAGTTTTCAGCTTGCCAAATGCCAATCCCATTTTTCTCTGTTTCTTGTTCCTCCTCTGTCTCTACTTTTCTTCCCCATTTTGAGTCACCAAACACAACTAACCACCCTCATGTCTTGCTCAAATCCTCACTGTCTCTCATGGGAAAGATTTTAAACCGACATGTCTCATTTATCTATCCCTCTCAAAATCAAAATTGGATAAGACAACACAGAGCATAGCCGAAAGTCGACAGGTACGGAGGTTATATGAGAAATTTTTTTTTAAACCATCCACGACTTAAATTTTTAAAAATGGGTATTTGTGTTTTTGCCACGAATTAATTTCTTTTTTCTTAAAGTTTGATTAAGGCTTAAATTTATTGGATTTTAATTTAATTGTTTGAAGTTAGGGTGGGTTTTCTTCTTTGGTTTGATTTTGTTTATTGTATGAGTTGATTTAAAAAATATGAAAAATTACTATAGCATCTCGATATAATTATTATTGATCGTTATGCCATTATTTGATGTTACAAAACTCCATTGTGAGTGTAATTACCGTTCACAACCCCATCGTAGGTGAATAATGATGGCAGAAAGTGTCGCTACTACTAAATAGAAGCCGCAATTCTTTTAATAAAAACAATACATGCCTCCTCATCAAATATGAAAATTATATACATGGAAAGACTATGGTCCCTTTTATCAAAGTTCATTTAAGTGACTAAAATAGGGGGGAAAATAGATATATTCTAGTAGGGTGGGGCCTTTAGTCTAATTTAGTCTAATTGAACTCAAGCTAACGCTGCTGGTGGAGGCCAACTGTTGGATACTATTGTAAAATAACCTTTTCATGAGGCATTTATTATGTAATCTTTAATAATGCATATAAGTGTAACCAAAATAATAATAATAATAATGCATATAAGAATTATATAGAATTTTTTATCTAGATATATATTTGGAATTAAAATATGTAATTATAAATCTTGGACCGTCTAATTCTTGGTCAATAGCTTGCTACTAGATATCATGTAAGTACTCCTACTGAGAGCTCTAAAATTTAAACATCATTTATAATTTATATATGTTAATACTAACGACTAGCAAAATTATTTGGCAAATTTTGATGGTGCTTTACTTGATTAATGAGCTACTCTTTTGAAATGACGTGGAGCAAAAAACTACCCCTTAGTTAACATCACAATATGTGCATTAACAAAGAAAATTTTTTATTAAAAAAAAAATCAAAATTAATCTATTCACTCTATATCGATCATCAAATTAAAAAAACCTGATTTAAAAGGATAAAATTATTGTTTTTTATAGTAATTTACTCATAGTGCAAGCCTACGATTTCGCTTGTTTGAAAATGATTTTAGATATCTCAATTATCAATAGCATTATTACCATACATAAGGTAATTATTACCACAGGATTTATATTCACCCGGTTGCTTCCGTCGATAGCGATGCAAATAAATCCAACCTTTAGCACCAAATAAATAAATAAATCCAACCTTTTTAGTTTCATGATCCTAGGCTTCAAAAAGATTAAACTTAAATTAAAAATAATTTTTAATAAATTATTATAATTCAAACTGAACCTGAGCTCAAATTGTATTTCAATGAAAATTAATTTTATACACAATGCAATTGTAAGGAATTCTTGTTCGAAAAATTATTTTAACTCTCTAGAGCAATATTACCTTAAATAGTGATAAGCCAATTTATTAATTCACGTATACTAAATAAATATTAAACATATACAAATATATTGATTCTCTTAATCAAAATTACTTACAAGTGCAAAACTCATTATAAAGTTCAAGTTTTACCACGAAATTTATATATAGACAACTCAACAAAACCAGAAAAGGCCAAAGTTAGATTAATTAAGCTCCACCACGAATTTTTTTAATCAAAACCATCAACTTTAAACATAAAACGAAAGAAAATAGATGCGTTAACTAGGACAAATTAAACACAACCAAGAAATTTGTACTTAATTCCCCAAGTTTATTCGAAAACAGCAAAACCTGTTGTACTGTTTATATTGTCAAAGATGCACAAGTGAGGTTCCGTCAATCAAATTGGCACTTTTCTATCGACTCCAGGTAGCATTCACCCTTGTAATAGCCATGAAATCGATCTAAAAACCACTGACGTTACCATCTTAAGGCAATAGCAAGAAACTCCAATGGCCTACGTCTATATATTCATTAGAAAACCAAAGACTGAAAATTGAATGCCATGTAAGATAAAAGAAAATGAGAGAAGAAAATCTAACAGATGTTTCTCAATGCAAAGGTACCGATACAGTTTATCTTGATAGTAAAAGGTTGAACATTGAGTAAAAGCATAACTAAATTGTAAGTATCAGCAAATGAAAATTAATGGTTGAATGCAGTTCCTCCCCTGAAAGAAACTAGGCTCTCTGCATAAAATGCTAGCTCTAATGCAGTTCCATCAAATTGGAGTGTCTTTATCTCTTTGTTATCTCCATGATGCCACGCCAGAAAGTTGCTTTCTTCGTTAACAAAGAAGATTTCACCATCGCTGCCCACTCCTAATGGTGTAGTGGCAGGAGGAAGAGATTCAATGGTGAATAATTTTGTCCAAGAGTTCTTTAGACCAAGTTCACCCAACACCCATACATCATAGCAGCCATCTGTCACATAATAATCATGACAAAGTAACCCACCAAGTGATCCGTTGATTTCCATTAAATAGGTAAGATAGCGTGTTGTTCTACAGTTCTTACCCAATCTCCCATCAGGGAATGGTGTTGTAACGAAAACTTCATTACTCATGTCAAATGAGAGGAGCAATTCTTCACTATCAACATCTGCCAAACAGTGATAAAATCCGTTGGAGTAGACTTGATAGTTCCTATAACTATGGAAGAATTCAGCAGTTAAGTTGTCATTCAACTTTCTCCAAGAATCAGTAGTTAAGTTGTACAAAGCAACTCGGTTACCTCGGGGGACTTTGTCGAAATCACCCTCCCAAAATGTGTCAATCCTAATTACTTTATACTCATCTCTCTGGAATCATAACCCAGACCAGCTACATCAATGGTATTTTCAGAGCTTGGCGGACACTCCAAAGGATACACTACATCAATGGTATTTTCATAGCTTGGCGGACACTCAAAAGGACACATAGGGAGAATTTTAAATTCCTTAGTCGCAATGTTCCACAAAAGAATACCACTAACACAGTCACAAAGACAAATTATGCCATTGCAATGACCTAGGATATTTATACTCATTGGATCATCAGTAAAGGATGGTATATCAAGATTGGCAACAACATCAAGAGTTTGATTGGAAATAAAAGAGACCATAGTCTTTCTCTCTGTAAAATTCACATGTTTCATGAGGAGACAGGTCTTGCTTTTACTAAAAGAATAGTGGGCAGTAATAAATTGAGGGCTTTGAATCAAGCAACACCAAGACTTACCAACACACCTGAATCGCTTTAGAGATTTGACAGGCAATCTTGCCAGAATATCCACCACAATATCTTCAGGCAACGAATGGGTGATCGCTGCTGCAGCCATTGATGATCTTCCTTGACGGTGTCCCCCTGTGCGTGTGTAAACGAGAGATTTGAGTATATGCAATACTTTCACAGGGATGGGAAAACTCATGTGATTTGATTTTATGCAGCGTAAATGGTAACTGACATTTGACAGGTAACGCCCCTTGCAAGTCGTCTGGCATTCTATTGGGTTATTTATTGTACCAACTATTAAATTTAAGAAAAAGTGACGTCATTGCTTAACTGTTAAGTAAGCGGTTGTTTAAACATCCGGATTAATTAAAATGGATTTCGAGTTTTATTCGGATGTTCCTAATTTTGATTATTTGAGCTTTCTAATCAGAGTTGTTTGATATTGGACTTGTGCAAACTTGATAATCTTGAGTCCAAATTTTCCAATCTAAAATCACATGGGCCAAAATTTAATTTCAGTCCGTTTCTAGTTAAATGGATCTTTTGTGCTTAAAAGTTAAAGTCATTTGAGGCTTAAAGCCCAAATTTCCAGACTCATGCAATCAAATTAGTGCTTTAATTAAATGAAAGGTAAGAGGCAAACTCCGGAATACAATGCTAAAATTTCTCATTTTACGAGAGTTAGGTTGAGATCTATAGCATTTTAATTAAATAAATAATTTAATTAATTAATGAATATTAAATAAAAAAGGAATAAAAAATTTAATAAAATAAATATAAAAACAAATTGAAAGAAAATCAAATCACAAGCAGATACCGTACATGAAACCACCAGCAACAATGCCTACCAGCCCTGCAATTCAGCCAACCTATCCCTTGAATCGTCAAGCCACCCTACCAGCCATCATTGCAGTCGAAATTAAGCTGCCAACAACCCTCTTTCTTACCCCGCATATTTCTACCTACTTTTCGTTTTTTCTCATGAACCTAAAATCTGAAACTACTTATAAAAGTGAACAGAGAAATCAACAGAGGGGGAAATTTTGAAAAAGAAAAAAAAAACTTCAAAAACAAAATCTGTTACCATCACCACCAGTACCCTTGTGCTACTAGCACACCTACTTAGCAAAAAACCCAAACTCGTCACCAATTTCATCTAAAAGCCATCAAAGCTATACCATGACCACCATCATCCACCCAAAAGCAAACACAAAAAACCCCTTCAACCCTTTGCTCACCGAAACCACCACACCCACCTAAATAGCCAAATACGCAGAACCTTCATCAAATTCCATCTGGAATAAAAAAGTCCTACTCTATTTTCATTCGAAAACCATCACAAAAAAACCAAAAAGAAAATAATTTCCCTAAAACCCAAAAAATACACTATCAAAAGTAAAAAAAGGCAATAAATGAGAAGAGTAAAAGATAGAGATTTTTGTTGGTTTTGGCAGCTAATCGGCCATGAGTATTCTTGGAATTTTTTGACTTGGATCTAGGTAGCATACAGATACTCAATCTCTCGTTTACTTACACACAGTGAGGAAGATTATTAATGGCTGCACTAACAATCACCCATTCGTTGCCTGAAAATGTTGTGGAGAAGAATTTTGGTTAAACTCATGGTTACGTTTTCGGTCACATTAAATTTATTATGATTGTGAATGTAATAATAATTATCGGTGTAACGGATACAATAACAATAGATACTTTCGTTGTGATTGTAAATTTTTTTTATTTTATATAACTATAAACATCTTGTTTTACTCAAAGTCCAAACTTGGATTTTTAATTTATTTTTTTTATTTTATTTTTATTAAATTTATGTATACATATGTTATTTTTTATTTCTTTATTTATTTTTGTTATTTTTAATTTTATTTAATTTTTTTGATATCCTTATCTTCAAATTTCATTTATATTTTCTTTAAATTATCTAATTATTTAAAAAAAATCAAATAGATAAAGTTTGGGTGATATTATCTTAGGTGATAAACGATATGATTGATTTTAGAAGATAATCTAAGTGTTTGTTTGAAATAAATTTAATTCTAATTGAATTGGGATTCTGCTAAATCTCCCTCTATAAATAGACTTGAAATCATCACAAAATGATCACACACACAACAATAAGCATGGTAAACAATAAGAGATAGTATTTTAACAAGAAAGATAGCAGCAACAAATAGAGAGAAAACAAAGCGCATCCAAAATTTTGAAAGAGAAAAAAGTTTTTAGCAAAAGGATTTTTTAGAGTTTTTAAGTTGGAGAATTTAATTTGGTTTTTTTTTAAGGATTCTAGGAACTAGAAGTCTAATTTGGTGTTTTGGAGCAAATTTTTCTAAATTTCTAAAATTTTTTCTAGAAATTTTAGAATCCAACCAAAATTTCGACAGACTTCAAATTTTTCGATGACTCTTTAACAATTTTTTTCAATTTTCAACAATATTCTTCAAAAACTAACAAAGCATTCAACTGACGTTCATAAGCTTTAGAGAGAGAAGCAGAGAAAAGGAAAGAAATGAGAGAAAGAAAAAAGAAATCTAATGAGAGAAAAACAAATTTGCAAGCTTTATAATGTCCTAGAACAATGTCGTTTTGAGTAAGGTTAAACCCTAAAATCCATGTGTTTTGCATTGACCCAACTCGAACCATACCGCACTACCCAACGACTCACAATCCTCCTAAGCTAATTGAGCTTCTAAGCCGAGCCAACTAGTCTTGAGTCGTGCCATATCCTGTTATCTTCTATTCAATTTTCAACAATATTCTTCAAAAACTGACAAAGCATTCAACCGACGTTCATAAGCTTTAGAGAGAGAAGCAAAGAAAAGGAAAGAAATGAGAGAAAGAAAAAACAAATCTAAACAAAGGAAAAACAAATTTGCAAGTTTTATAATGTCCTAGAACAATGTCATTTTGAGTAAGGTTAAACCCTAAAATCCGTGTGTTTTGCATTGACCCAACTCGAACCATATCGCACTATGCAACGACTCACAATCCTCCTAAGCTAATTGAGCTTCTAAGTCGAGCCAACTAGTCTTGAGCCGTGCCATATGCTTTTATCTTCTGTGCTTATAGCCGCATCTTCTCAGCCACTAAACCAAGTCAATCTTGTTGGTATAATTTCATTTTCATTTATTTATTTATTTTTGACTTATTTGTATATTTTCTTTATTAATTGTTTATTTGTTTATTTATTTTTATTTATTTAGTGGTTTATTTATTTATTTATTTATTTATTTATTTTATTTTATTTATTTATTTATTTATTTTATTTGATTATTTATGTATTTATTTATTTGTAAATAATTTTTATAAAAAAATAAAAAAATCTTTTCAAATAAAAATAAATTTTATCACATATTGGAGGGTTCAAATTTCTAAAAATAAATTTTTGAATAAAAAATGAATCTTACCAACATGTTGGAGGGTTCAAATTTAAAAAAAAAATGAATTTTTGAATAAAATGAACCTTACCAACATATTTGAGGGTTTAAATTCTCAAGAAATGAATTCTTCAATAGAATAAAGTCTTACCAACATATTGGGGGGCTTGTGATTTTAAAAATAAGGTTTTACCAATAGATTGGAGAACCTTATGAATTTCTCATAAAAATTAAATTTCAAGGTAAATAAAAAAAATAGTTTTCAAAAAGCCTTACCAACATATTAAAGGGTTTATGATTTTAAAAATAAGGTTTTACTAACAGATTAGAGAACTTTATGATTTTTAATTAAGATTTAAAAGAAAAAAATAGTTTCCATAAGATCCTACCAATATATTGGAGGAGAATCTTTGATAGAAAATTTTACCAATATATTAAAAGATATTTTTGAAAATAAAGTATTTTTATAATAATAGATTTTGAATCTCCAATGATGGAATTACAAACAACGTTGCAAATAACTTCTTTGTAAATTCTTAGGTGAGAAATTCTTTCTTAATTTTACTAACATATTGGAGAATTTAGAAAAGATTTTCAATATTAAGATTCTCACAAAAATTTCACTTATCACAAATAAAAAATTTTACACAAATTAAATGAATCCAACAATGAAACTTCTTCAAAATATGACAAATAGTCTCTTTAAATACTCCTGAGGTGAGAAATATACATATTGAAGTAATTTAAGGATAATTAACAATAAGTAATTATATGGTAAGATTTTTAAAGCTTTTGGATAACATGAAATCAAACTGATACTATCATTTGGATGGGGGTTATAGGGGTGCTATAACCTTTCTCATAATTAACCATACTTTCAGACTTAGTTCTAGTTTCATAGACATAAATCTACCTTTTAAATATGTCCAAGTCAAACTTGGGACTTCTTTTTAAAATGAGATAGATTCAATTAGGTGACCAATCGCATATAGACAAAAAAGATAAGTGGTGACTCCCTAAGTCGGTCTAGCAATGGCTTTACAAATCTATAAGTTATGATAGTTTGGCGGTTTCGTTGGGGATTCCAAGAGTTAGGTAAGTAAACTCGTGTTATCCAAAACTTATGTTAAAATTAAGAGTTTTTCTTTGAATGATTTATCTAGTTCTAATTATACCATATTCTATCACTTGCATTTGGATGACATGAGCTCTATACTCGAGCACTATTTTTTAAAAAAGAGTTAAGTACCTATGCTCTCGTGAGATTTCATGTCTCTATCTCGACTAGTAAAACACTCTCACTCAAATTGAATACTTTCCATTTGTAGTTTGTGATAGGTGAGGATTAAGGTGCCTTATTAGTCTATGATGGATAATTATTTAAAGAATAATTTGGGAACTATTAAAGCTAACCCAAACTGCATATAGTTAGCCTTATGAGCCTAACCAATAGGTAGAGCCATGATCGTCCTTTTTGTAGAAATGACCCAAACTTAGGACACATACCTTTTATATATAAGTTGTGCATAAACTTGTTTTATTCTTTTATTTCTTTGTACTGGATGCTGACTTTGTTCTTGTTTGTTACTTCATTTTTGCATGAATCTTGTTAACATCAATAAGATTGTAATTTTTTTTAATCATTTCATGCATCTCATTCATTCATAAATCATCGTTCATGTATTACATTCATTTCATAATATAGAATTCTTTTGTTTTATTTGGGTAACAACATAAAAGACATGGAAGAACAATTAGAAGCACCAATCCAAGCCCCATAACTTATCCAAGAATTGGGGCATAACCTACGAGAAGTAAAAATGCAACTTGCCAAGCGACTAGGAAAACTTGAAGCAACAAATACTTAAAAGTCTTCATCAACTCTAATTTGCTCACAACCACTTCATCAAGACCAAAAAGCCTCTTATGAGTCATGCCAATGCTTCTGATGACCTAATAAAAGATTAAGTCAAAAAAGAAGCAGAAAAGATAGGGTCTTCCAACTTTGCCCTGTCTCCATAAATAGACTCGTACTCAAATCCATATCCCCACTCGTTTATTCCTCAACAACCTTTTTTGGCACTTAAACAAGACCTACTCCTATTCAATCCCCACAGGTTGGCCTAAACTTATACTATTTTCTAATTACGAACAATGCTCATCAGCCCATTTAGCA